GCTAGAAGCTGGGGGAAATAGCAGCTGGGGATGTGAGAGCCCAATCCAGCCCCCAGCCTTGCTTCCTCCCCCATTCCCTGTTGGTCTATGCTGTGTCCACACAGAATCAGGGGTGAGAGAAGGGCCACTACAGCCTGGGATACTGGAGGACTTCAACATGAGTGGCACATCTATGGGGAGTGGCCACATATTCATGGAACAGGAGCTGAGTTGTGAGGATTAGATATAATCCTGCCTTGGAGTGGCATAATTTTGAGCCACATAAGTGCTTTAAGACACTTTAAGGTGTTAATGTGCAGACAATCTGGGAAGAGCTCCAGGAGTCACCCAAAATTAATGTGTAACAAGGCTCTAATCCACTAAAGTCAGTGAGAGTGAACCCAGTATAACAGAGTGGAAAAACAAGCACATTAGCCTCTTCTGAGGTGCTAATAAAATCTTAAAACTGAGAGCAAATTGCCAGTATAAAATATATAAGGGAAAATTTCAAAATCTTGACCCAACCCAAACTCCTCTCTACTATTTGTTTCAAGGACTGATGAAGTACTTGGGCAGTCAGTGAAGTGTGCATGGTGTGTACACGGAGGCAAAAATTTCTCTGAAGACTGGAAGTTTAATTGCAGTGCAAATAGATGCAGTTTTCCTTTTGTTTGAACTTTATAATCTATATCGAGCTTTATCTCATTTCCTTCCACTATTTAACAATATCATTTAATTAAATGCATTTAATTAAGATATTTATTGAACTAAAGAATATTTAAGGTAAAGTACATGTCAGTACTGCTGAAGAGTCATCATATAATTACAGCCTTATTCTGCATTTTTTACCTTCACCTCACTTAAGCCACAACTTTTGCTGAAATGAGAGTGTTTTGCCTGACTCAAAACATGAGTCCTGAATGCAGCCAAACATTTGCAAGCAACTTAATTGCTCCCCTAACCAAAGCGTGCTCTGCCATCTAGTGGCAAAGATGTCACAATGTTATTTAAATGGTAAAACTGCATGAAACCCTTTGTACATGTTATTGTATTTATTTAAAAAAAAACAATTATGGGGAGGTGGCAAGATACCAACAGTGACAGTTACAGTATACACACTTAGGAGGTGCTTTGATTTCTGTAAGTCCTTTAAATCCCCCTATAAAAAGTCCTTCTATAAAATCCAGGAAACCTTTGACTTCTATAATAAATAGAACTGGTGGCAGCAGCTTCAGCTGAACATTCTTGGAGAAGGGATTGTGCACAATCAGTTTAAAGGCAAAGACCTGACACATTTGTTTAGCTGGGTTTATGATGCCAGGGGGAAGGTGACTAAACAGCGATGAAGGACTTTAAGTACCTGCTAAAGTTGGTGAGAGGAATCATTTGACAAAGGGACTGGAGGTTATAAAAGACAGTCTCTCTCTCCAGGTACTTCAAAATGAGAGGAAGGAGACCCAGAAGCAGAAAGGTGGCTACAGGATATAAAGCAGACTCCATATTCTTCAATAGCAGGAGTAAGTGGGAGAGGAGAGATCTGGACTTCTAAAAGAACTCTGACAAATGCCAAAACAATGACATTGACCAATGAGAAAATGAAGGCAAGGAAATGTGTACAGATGTGTTATTGTTTTTTTCCTGGATCTGTACTTTTCTTGCACTAGTAAAGAGTGATTGGTTTGGAAACCTTTATTAAATGTGTTTGATGTGCTTCAGCTATTATGGGATCCCAAAGAAAAGAATAATGCAGGCTGCCCATAAGGTGGGTGCTCTGGAAAAGCAGGCTGGAGCACCTTGGAGGGTCAGAATTGGTCCCATGAGCCTAGGGCAGTTGAACTGTGAGATCCCATTTCCATTAACAAAGAACCTATATAGGGTGGGCAAAATACGGCCCGGGGGCCAGATTCGGCCCACGAGGCCATTTTATCTGGCCCGCAGGACCCCTAAAAAAATTTGGAAAATTAGTATTTCTCTGCCCTTGGTTCCTGTCATTACTGACCCAGGGGAAGCACAGCGGGCTCCAACAACAAAGGGCCCACCCGGCCCCGCCTTCCAGCTGGAAGCCCCAGCCACGGTTTCTGGGCTGGGAGCACGTGGCTGCCCCGGCACGGGAAGTTCAGGTAGCCCACGCAGGGCTGTCCAGAGTGGGCACAGGCAGCCCCAGGTAGGCTGCGAGCAGCTGCAGCATGGGGCTCTGGGCATGGAGTGGGCGAGGAGCCGCTTTTCTCCGTGCAGGGAAGGAGACCAGGGAAAAGCTGAGCACGGGGGGAAGTGGCCCCTCCCCACCCATGGCCGGTGCCCCACGCTGCAGCTGCTTGCAGCCCGCATGGGGCTGTCCGAAGCGGGCACAGGCAGCCCCATGTGGGCTGCAAGCAGCTGCAGCATGGGGCACCGGCCATGGGTGGGGAGGGCTGCTTCCCTGTGAAGGACCACCCCCCCACTTACCTGAGCTTTCTGCACCAGGGCAGCCACGTGCTCCCAGCCCAGCAAGCCTACCTGGAGCTGCCTGTGCCTGCTCTGGACAGCCCTGCGCAGGCTGCGAGTGCCTGCAACGCTAGCGCCGGCCATGGGGCAGGCAAGGGGCCACTTTTCCCCATGGTCAGCACCAGCTTCTTCCCTGCCAGTGAGCAGGGGGTCAGGGCTGTGCACTGTCCCCCGCCTGTACTGCAGGGCTGGGGTCACTGGGTGTGAGCAGCGGGGTGCCAGTGGGAGCAGAGGGCCCGCACTGGTGTCCCGGAGGCAGTGCCAGTGGGGCCCAGAGCAGGGTGGCAGGAGCATGGGGTCCCAGCCAGCAGGGGCTCTATGGAGCTGGGCCAGCTGCCCCCACCACCCTGCTGGTGCAGCCCAGCCCAGCTCCACAGACCCTTGCCAGCCTGTGCCCCACTTTGGGCCTCACTGGTGCTGGCCCTGGGACATTGGTTCCAAGACATTGGGACACTGGTCCCAAGATGGTGACCAGGGGGTGGGGCACCTGTCAAGGGGTGGGGCACCTTCAAGGGGCGGGGCTACCCATGCAGCCCTCGACAGCCTGCCAAAACTGGGTAAGCGGCCCTCCACTCAAAATAATTGCCTGCCCCTGACCTATATTCTCCAAGTGTGCCAGAGGGGGTATGGCAGGAGGTATGGCAAGCAACAGACTGCAGACTACCCAGAACTTCAAATGTTCACAGAGCTCATGTAGTGAGCCAGAACAGCAACCTGGTGAGGATCTAAGTGGAAGGGAGAAGGGCTATTAAGTCTGTGACAGAGTGTACCAGAGCAAATAGTCTATTATGACCAGTTAAAAGCCAGCTCTTGTGAGATGCAGAATGCCCTCACTCCCGCCAACAGCAGCAGAAGTTGAAGGTGATTAGCACCTAGTAAAATCAGGCCTTTGCTTTCCAATTTCCATTTGTTATTGGTGTAAGTCATTCTACCCGCTTTTCTTTATGGTGGCAGTTTTACAGTAATGCAAATCCACTAAAAAAACACTGGAAGTGAACTGGCCTAATCCAGAGTGGAAGTGTAGCCTGTTTATTTTTTTATGCAATAATCCCAGTTTTTGCCTGTAGAAATATCAGACTGTACTTCTCTGTACAACTGTACTTTGCAAATGAAAAAAAAGGCAGCTGGATAGTCCATTGTTTTTCTGTCTTTTCAAACCTTTGGTTATTTGACATGGCATCACTGGCAATGCAATACAGCTGCATGCAGTGGCAGGTAATGTGGAAAAATGTGCTTTAAAAGAACATTCCTTTAAAATAAAAATTCATCTACCATATACTTGTTATCTGCACAAGGGGAACAAAAGGAAGTTATTCTTACCGGCTCTCAATTGCGGCATGAAACTCCTGCTGACTAATGATTTCTTTCTCCAGCTTGTCAGTTTTTCTGAGAAATACATAAAAATGGATCAGACTTGATGATGGTCATAAAACATGTCCTGCTGCATATTACAAGGTATTCCTTGGTTAGTAAAAGAGCACAACTAGAATGCAATTTTTTCCCCATGGCTTCATGGCTGAAAAAGTTGACACGTGCATTCTAAAGATTTTTCTCTATGTTAGCCTTTTGGCTTCAATATTCCCACCTTTCTTGTGTGGATAACAGCAAATCCCAACCATTCTCCTATGGCCACAGGATCTGTTTGTAACTGCAACCAAATCCACAGGTGATCAAGAGCCATGCTTGGCACCTGAAAGAGCAAAGGGGCATAAGCCACTCCTGGGACTCTGGGTACAAGTTTTAGCAGCCTGAGAGCAGCAATGCTAAGGACTGTCAGAACACGGAACACCCTAGCCAAAGGCCATCACAGCTGGTGATGCCCCCAGTGGTTCCCCAACAAGGGGCATCCCCTACTGGCTGTTTATGCCAGCTTTCTGTCACCTTTAACTCTGCAGGAGAAGCACAAAATTGAAAAAGGGAGAGGGAAGTTCTGGCCATTATGGGGCGCATATTGTTTGTCTGGTTTAATAGGGACCAAAAGCATCCAAAATGTGGCAGAATCAGGGTTTACAGAGCAACTTGCAGTAAAAAAAATAGGCAGGAAAGTCCTTCCAGGGCCCCAAAATGCTAACTATGCAATTGTTAAATAAAGCAATATTGGTTATTTGCAGACAGGCAGATTCACTTTTCTGACAGCCAGGTCAACAATAATGCTCCCCTTTTAATAAGAGGGAGCTAAAGGAGGAGTCCTCTGCTATATTAAAAGATGCAGGTTACATTCAGGGAGTCTCATTTGTGCTTCAGTGCTACAAAGAGACCAGCCAGGGCAGAACTTTGTGCACACAGAGAGTCCTGTGACATCAGATAGGACTGTCTGATGGGGTCTGTGAAGTTCCACTGCTTGGAAAGAGCACTGCCTGAAACTTCACCTCTGGAGAAGACACACTTTCTTTCATTCTGAATGTGTATGCCTGATTGATGTGAATTCTGTTTTAGTACCATTAATAACTCCAACTTACGCTGCTTATAAGCATAACAGAAAGAAAAACAAAAAAGCCAAAAGTGCCTGGACACTTACTGGAATGTGGTCAGGAGTGAAAGGAAATCAGACTGAAATAAATTTGCCAGTTTGACTTCAATTTCAGTCATAGTGGAGGCTGAGCTGATACTCTCTTCCCAATGAAATCTACAAAGGAGAACATTTTAAAATCATGAGTTAAACCAAATATTATTCACCCCTGTTCTACTTTACCAGCACCTCCAGGTTCTTATGCTGCAGATAGATGTAGGTCAACATTTTTTTAGTGGAATAGCTTTCTGACAGAAGCAAAACATTTCCAAAGTGACCAGCAGTCCAGCTCCGTGGTCTGCCTAAGGAACTGGATGACTAACTTGCCTGGATGTGAGACTGATATCAAAGGATTCCAGAGCTGAGAAACAAACTCTACTTCAGATGGGAAGGGAGGTTAGAGTGGTCATATCAAGCTGTAGGAAAAAAACAAGTGGGGCTTTTACAACCCAAGGTAAGCTTGCTGGTTTGGCTCCCAGGGAAAGAAAACAAAGATATTCTTGCTTATAAAGAGCATTTGCTCTAGAAAGCATCAAGAGAAAACAAAGTGTATAGCTACACAATGCAGTGCAATGCTATGTAGGTACCAGTGCCAGCTGTACACAGCACAGGATGCATCTACATGAGATGTTTGCTGTAGTTGCCTAATTAGCCCAGCAGTATATGTCTCGGTGTCTACATGTGCGGCCCTATTAGGCCACAGAAAACTAATAAACTCTGAAGCAGATTAGTACTTGTAAACACAAATACTATCCTGCTGCAGAGTTTTTTTTTTGTATACAGCAGCAAATGTGTAGACACTGATAGGGCTGGCGAGGGCATGAGGGTGCTTCAGTGCAGGGGCTGCCTACCAGCTAGCCCCACACTGGAGTACCCTCATGCCCCAGCCAGCCCCTCTACAGCACTTTGAGCCAGATTGGAGGAGCACCAGACTGGCAGGCTGACTTCAAGAGCCACTGTAATTAAACTGCCTCAGTGTCTCATGGATCAGTGTCCTCACACTTTAAAATGGCAGCAGGGGTGCTTCAACTAAAGCTTGTTGAACAACAAGCTTGTTCAACAAGCTTTAGTTCAAGCACCCCCACCACCATTTTTGAAGTGCAAGGATGCTGATAGACAAAAAGAGGGAGGCTGCTGAAGCATCGTAATTGCCACACTCCAGCAGACTCAATCAAGTCTGTTCCAACACATTGTAATTACAGTGCATTGGAGCAGCCTCCGTGCTCATGTATAGGCACCTATACTTCCTGCCAATAGGGCTATGTTGTGCTAGGACTGAGGGACCAGACCATGACCCCAACCTAGCAAAAACACATCACCCTGAGACAAGGGCTAAATTTCTACCCCCACCCAGTGTTCCAGCACAGGACACTTCAAATGTCTGCCCTGCATCTCAGAACATGACAGTGCATCTCTGAGCATTTACACCAACTTCAGATGAATCTGAAGCAAGAAGCAAAAAGCCCAGGTGCTTGTAACCAAAAAATGAATAGTTCTATGAAAACATGATCAAAACAATAATAAAATCTGGTAGCTCCTTCCACTGGGCCTCCCAACACAACCTCTCTTAGCATGTAAGATCTGTAGGGCACTGTTTCTCAACCTGTGGGTCATTATGACCCAAAAGTGGGTCGCAAGAATATATGAAAGGTTCACAAACAAACTTTAAAAATGAATTATCCTTTAAAGGAGTAAAACATGGGAAACTGTGGCTTTTCCCTTGCAGGCTGGCAGAGTTCCTGCCTGTGAGGGGCTGCTTGGGGGTCTCCGTGCCCCACATACAGCCCCCCGCCTCACACACTGGGGTGCTGAGGCCTTGGGCCAGGGGGTTGGGACTGAGGGGCACTAGGTCGGCACTGGACATTAATATTTACAAATGGGTTCTGGTACAAAAAATGTTGAAAACCACTGATCTAGAGCACAGCCTACCATGCACAGCACTGAGGTGACAAACAACAAGACTGATAGTACTGGCCACCTTATGTTATTGCAAATGGTAGCAAATAGAAACTTATTAAAGGGAAACAGACATAGAAAGACATTAAAAGGAAAATAGCACTAAGAGTTCCTGAAAGATCTTCACCATTTCAAATGAATTAGCACTGCATTAACAGAGTGGATGAAATTGTGTATTTACTTATATATTGCTACTCTTCTAGTCACACTTTATTAATGTTCATTCAAATTTTGTGGTTGACTTTAAAGCTTTTGTGATACTGAACTCTAACAGCAGAGGGCAGAGCCACTTTGTAAGGCTGCTCAGATTGGCAAGAAAGCCTTTCCAAAGACTTGCAGTGTGCATAGTTTTAGTGTTTATCTAAAGGGTTATTCCAGGTTACTTGTACTGCTTGCAGATCTGACACTCGGAGGCCCTGTCCCGTGATAGGTGTCTCCAGAGTTCCAAGCTGTGCAGACTGCGGAAGGCATGGATCTGGAACTGCTCCCAGCTGATCTATTCAGGGGAAAAGTCATTCTGCTTCAGAAGGCCAATGCTAAAATAAACCTGTGCTTGCTGAATTGCTGCTCCAGGAAAGTCAGCCCCTGGAAATGTGTCTCTCTCCCCCAAGTTATCGTGGCCCTTGATGCTATCGTGGTCTGTCTTCTCCCACCTCCATGCAAACTGGAATCCATGCAACACTAGGTTTAAAATAACCCCTAGCTCTGAGTGTCAACCACCCTTGGGCCAGGGGCTAATTCCTAAAACAAACAGCTGCACAAAGGAGACCTTTTCCTCTGATTGGAAGAGTCATTTCTTTTGGAGAGGGGTAACCTGTCCTAATTCTGATGGCCACTTCTTATAGGGTAGGTTCAAGTATGCTGGTGCCTTGTTGGCTTCTCAGAGGTCAGGAACAATGCTCTGACAGAAGTACAGCCTTTCAGCCTTTTAACCCTTCCCAGGCTGACATAATCAGCAAAGGGGAAAGCCTCCACTGCACAAAGTACCCCATAAAAATTAGGTGAGGTGTCCACAGATTCATAGGGGAGGAAGCATAAGGGAGCCAGAGAGGCTGCTTCTACTTGATAAGGAGGTGGGAGATATGGGTAGAAGAAGAGGTTGCACTTTTCTGGGTGAGTGCTTTAGTATAACAGAAAGTAGCGTAACAGGGCATAACATAACAGAGAGGGCTTTAGTGTAACAGCCAGTTACTAGGAAGGGAGATTGTAGCCAAGA